GAACTACCATGTGAACGTTTTTTTATTCCGCCTTTCGACATTGGGCAGACGGGGGGGAGGGGGTTGGGGTCTGGCTCCGGACCTCTGCTTGGTGCGACTGTTTGGGACCGTGCGTCCTATGGGGGAGACTTCACCTGCTCGAAGAAGGCGCCAAACATGATCGACCCACGAACCCGGAAAGGAATATAGAGCTGTAACGCATTGCAACGTTTTCAAAGACACCTGATTGGGTGACGGGCAAGTGCAAAGCTGATTGTATCGATCTTGATGTACCATGCCGAGGGCTGTGCTGTGCTGCACCGTGCTGAATTGCGATGTGCCATGCCGCGGTTGTGCTCTATAGCGTCGTGGATCGAGTCTTCCTTTGCATCCGAGTCCTGACCGAACTGATCTGGATCTGAAGCTCGAGCTGCCTGAACACATAGTAGCTGCCCCAGAGCTAATTGACAGGGGGACATGCCAGGAGGACGCGCCGCGAAACGTCCCAAGGGACGCGCCAGGCGACGTGCCAAGGGACGTGCCATGGGGTCGCACCGTAGGACGTGCCAAGGGGACGCGCTACGGGACATCCTCAAAATTCCTGCGCGCGGGACGCGGTACGCGCGAGACATCCTTGGAATTCCTGCGAGCGGGACACGAAAACAAGCATTTCGCCTGAGACCTCCTCTGAATTCTGGCTCCCTACGAAGCCCCCGCTCGGGACATCCCCAAACTTTGCAAAACCAGCGTTTCGCTCGAGACATCCTCAACAAATTATGAAAAACAAACGTTTCGCCAGAGACATCCTGCCAAAATTTTCAGAATTCCTGACAAAACAAGCGAATTAGTCGAGACATCCTCGAAATTCCTGCGCGCGGGACGCGGCACGCGCGAGACATCCTCGGAATTCCTGCGCGCGGGGCGCTTTTCCGCGTCGCGGTCGGGGCTCCAGGCTCCGTTATTTGTCGAGGACTCTGCGAAAAACGCTCCGCACCCTCTTTTTTACGATGGAAAACGGGGGTCTGCGGACCCCGTTTTTATCGAGGATCCGAGACGGGGAGCGCACTTTCCTCGAGCGGGCACGCACGAAATGCACTTTTTCAAAACAAGTCAGCACTTCACTTCGTTATTTACGCAGAATAATTTCGCGGGCCCCCTTCAAGTCAAAACCGGAGGTAAACCAGCTAAAAGAGAACCCTGGCCCTTTCCGGGAAAAACAGCCGAGATCTACTCCACGGGGAGAGGGGGGAGGGGGGGAGGGGGATGTGCGGGGGCCCGCGCCGATCGGCTAAACAAGGAATAATAAATGCTCACCAAGGCAGGGTCTGCCCGATTGCTTGGAGTCGCCTGCCCCCGAGAGAGGCCGGACCACGATGAGAGCAGGCCTTGGACATCGGGCGCTCGAAGGCTCCGAATATCAATGCGGTCCTCCGGGAACTCCAGGGGTGTGCACTCCGCTGAACCGCTGCAGCAGAAGAAACACGATGCAGCCTTCGCACGTCAGAAAGAGAACGCTGCACAAGGAACGGAGCGCGTTTTTGGCAGCAAGGCCGACTTGGTGCACAAGGACCGCTACGGGAACAGCCATGGACGGAGCAGAGGAACCGCGAGCCCATTTCGAGCCCGAACTGCGAGCGCCTCCTTCTCTCGGCACCGCGAGTGTAGGGAGAGGGAGAAGGAGTGGAGGAGGAGGAGGAGGAGGAGGAGGAGGAGGAGGAGGAGGAGGAGGAGGAGGAGGAGGAGGAGGAGGAGGAGGACAACGAGAAAGGCGGGAAAGAGGATGAGGCTGATGAGGTCAGAGGATGGAGATGGGGCGCAGGACGATGGCTGCGTCCTGGTCCTCGATGTGCACGATCGCTGGCAGCAGGAACGCGCCTTGGGCGAGAGCGTGGCCGATCGCCCAAGGCATCGGCCCCGCCTCCTCTCTGCTCCTCTCCCCTCCTCTCCTCTTGCTCTGGCGCGTACAGCTGACACCCACACGAGGAGGGTTAGGGGAAGGAGGAGGAGGAGGTGGAGGTGGAGGAGGAAGAGGAGGAGGAGGGGGGGAGGAGGAGGAGGAGGAGGCGGAGGAGGAGGAGGAGGAGGAGGAGGAGGAGAAGGAGGAGGGGAAGGACGACGAGGAGGAGGAGAGGAGAGGCAAAGCATGGCTTCATCTCGCAGAAGCCCAACGCCCCTCGAGGCTTGTCGGAGCCGGCCGGGCGCGCGCGCGCCGGGCCTGTCAGTCCCGAGAGGGGGGCAGCCCATCGCCCGTCCCGCCGGCCGGCGGAAGAGAGAGGGGGGCCCCCAGGAGCTGTTGATTCCGTGCTTCTCGTGGGGATCCTCCTCCTCGTCCCTCCTCCTCCTCCCTCCTCCTCCTCCTCCTCCCTCCTCCTCCTCCTCCTCCTCCTCTCCTCCTCCTCCTCCTCCTCCTCCTCCTCCTCCTCCTCCTCTCCTCCTCCTCCTCTCCTCCTCCCTCCTCCTCCTCCTCCTCCTCCTCTACTCCTCCTCCTCCTCCTCCTCCTCCTCCTCCTCCTCCTCCTCATCCGCCTCCTCCGCCGCCCGAGAAGGGACTGCCCCAGATGCCCCCACCCAGCGCCAAGCGCATCCCCCGAGAGAGGACAAGCGAAGTGCATGCTGCAAACCACCCGGCAGTCAATTTCCATTGGATACCCGGAGGTAGCTCCCGTGAGGTCTTCGCACTAACGACTCAGCTGCCATGCTGCGGCAAGGGGTTGCACCTTCCTGTGCCTCACTGCGGCTGGCACAATGCTTTGTGCATTGGCTTGGTCTGCACCTCGAGAACCGTGCTCGGCCCTGTAGGACCAACCGTACGCACACGCAGAGAACACACACACACAAACTCGCACATGCTTCACACACGAACCACTCCTACTAATCCACCACTGCAACGGTAAACAGATCAAGCATCATCTACATGATCACACCCACAGGCGCAACAACGTGTCAATTACCGTACAAAAATGTGATCTACCAACGTGCCACCACTCTGTCGAGATGTAACCGCAATGGCGATCAGAAGATTTCGCCTTGCACATAGTACGACGCGACGCGAAGCTCATGGACCACCAGCAAAGAATATGGACCCTATGGGGGCAACGCAGAAGACCAGCTGGGGCTCCATCGGAAAAGGCAATCCGAATCCCGCTCACAACGAATCGGGATGCCGTCAGGAAACAGATCACCGCAGAACATCGCTCGTGGCACAATCGGGCCATTGCAGAAAATTCACTGGTACACTGTTGTCAATGGCACCATGGGGCAATCAATCGTGAGGTCGTCGGGACACCATGAGAACACGATAGGGTACCATCTGGACACCATTGAGCCACCAGAGCTATGTTGTCAGCGGTCGCGGACGCACTCTGGGCGGCGGTCGGCTACATGGAACACCCGACAACGCTACCAGAGCACGCACGGTGACATCTTCGAAGCACCACAGAAACTCAATCGGGAGACCGCGGGCAAACCTGCCGGGACAACGCCAGCACACCTGCACCCGACGGGCTTGGGCAGGACACCGACGAAAGATCAATGGACACCGGCGGGACCTCCTCCTGGTGCTCGCTGACCTCCTCCGCCTGTTCGCAGGCAGCCCACATCACTTTCGTTGTGGAATGATAGCGATATCCTTTTCCTCCTCCTCCTCCTCCTCCTCCCATGTATTATAGTAAGCCACGTATCTCTCCTTTCGGAGTCGGCGGGAAGCCCGAGCCCCCCGAGGTAGAGGCCATCAAGATAGGTTTGGGAAGTCTGGCCACGTGTTGGCGGGCGGTGGGGAGGTTTCCTACGTGTGCGGGGTTTTCTCTCGGATGGCAGACTCCCAAACCTGACGGCGGCACCCGATTTCTGCACGGCCTCTGCCCCTTCTTTAGAGCGATCGCCAGGGGCATCTATCGGGCGGTCCCACACGCTGCGCCTGCCGAGTATGATCATGGATGCATCCCTCGGCGCAGGCGAGAGAATGCAATCTTGGGCACGCACATCCTGGCGGATCGCTTGCGTAGCGCACGCGTGTGGCACATTGCTGTCTTCGATGACATGAAGAACGCTTTCGGTTGTTGCGAGCACAAGCACATGAATCAAGGACTTTTAGAGTATTTGCCAGCAGGGGATGTTGACCTGCTCAGCGACAGGCGCACCACGCACCTTCTTCACCTCGAGGGCGTCGATCGACCCACCACCCTCCTCCTCCAAAGCGGGGCCTTGATGGGGGATCCCAGTGCGCCCGACGAGTTTCGAGTTGATTTTGCCCGCCCTCCAGGAGTGACTCGCCCAGTTTCAGGACCCAGCTCTGTGCGCGTCGTGCCCCGTTTTCGGGCGCGAGGTCTATGCGGGCCTCTTCAAATACGTGGACGACCTGGCATATTTTTTGCTACTCCAGGAGGGGGCACTTTCCGAGGCCGTCGCCACAGCGCGCGACGCCCAGACTAAGCTCGGCAATGCCCTGGCTGCGTACGGATACAAGCAAAACGCGTCGAAACAAGTTTTGGTCCCCCGCCTTTGTGGCTACAAGGCCACTCGCCATTTTTATGCGGCGGAGGTCGGAGGGGCTCGCGTGGCCCCGCACACCAGGTACTTGGGACCGCAGTTTTTGCCCTCTGGCGCTTTTTTCTCATCAGCTTGCACTGAGTAAAGTAGCGGCCAACAGGGGGTGGATGTCTTTCAAGTATTTGTGGACCTCGGGGGCCCCGTTTAAGGTGAAGAGGCTAGTATTCACATCCGTGGTGCAAGGTGCGCTACTGTCTGGACTTACACCGTATCTCCTCACGAGCTCTCAAGAGGCCCAGTTGGACATCGCGCTCTTGGGCAAAATCCGATGTATTGCCGCGGGGGCTTTGTGTGACCGATCTGGCGACCATCCCATTGTTAAGGACTCTCGGGACGTCTGGAAGTGGATGAATATTGTCCCGTCGGGGGTCGAGTTGTTGATACAGAGACTTCGATGGTACCAGGCCATGGTTAAATGGCCCGAAGAACATTCCCAGGTCATCAGCCTCCTCTTCGGTCGCCTCGGCTTCGAGAATGCCCCCACCTTGTCCGAGGGCCGCCTCACCGTTCACGCCAACCCGTTCGCCGTTCGTTTCGTGACTGACGTTTACAGGCTCGAGCTTCTAACTGATTATGAAGACTGGCGCTCCGTCTGGGGCGAGGACATCCATGCGCTCTTCCATGATGACTACATATCACATCAGTTTCTGGCGGCTGATGTTTCTGCGTTGCGCAAGATCTGGCAGAGCGGTAAGACTGAGCTGGACACTATCGACTTCGGACCTTGCCTCTCCGCCTCACAGGATGGGATTGAGGACTTCTTGGGCCCCTCTGGCTGCGTGCACGTTTGCAGATGCACTACAGAAGATGGAGACGTTTGTGGCGCCCGCTTCTTCACCCATGCTGCTCCCGTCGCGCACCAGACCCACACCCAGGGCGGCTTTCATGGCAACTTCTCCTACTATGCCAGATGTGTCGTCACGAACCAGTGTCCAGCGTGTCGTACTTCCTTTGCTTTCCAGAAGACCGCGAAAGCTCATCTCTGTCGGGCCTTTCGTCGGGGAGTTTGTGACGTTCACAGCGCGCATGCACTACATCCCGTGGTCGTCCCCAAGCTTGTCTGCCCAGTGTGCGCCACGTCTTCGTATTTCGATTTGGCTCAGCTCCAGGATCACATTTGCGAGCGGCACCTGCCTTTCTTACCTGAGCGACGGGCTGGCGATGGCGAACCCCAAGCCCAAGTGGATGCTGGAGAAGCGGCCGCCTGGCGCCGCAGAGGCAGAGGGCGCTCCCGTGCAGGCCAAGGCCAAGGGCGGCCCCCCGCAGAAGGACAAGGGCGGCAAGAGCTCCAACCCCACCCCAGGCTCCGCCTCCGACGCGGCCGCGGCCAACGGGCCCAACAGCAAGCAGCAGCGCAATCGGCACCTCGGGCAGATCAAGGACATGGGCTTCACCAAGAAGCAGGCCAACTTCATCAACGTGCTGGTGAAGCAGACGCTCATGACGACCCAGATGGTGCGCGAGCTATGGGCAGCGGGAGTGGACATGTACTTCCTGACCGCCGACCTACCAGAGATCGAGGCCGCACAGGAGGCAGGGGCGACGTATTCACACGAAGTCCGAGCCCGAGGCAAAGGCCACCAGCTCGGTCCTCCTCACCTACATATCTTCAATGGGTTCGTGACCAAGTTGCTCGAGCGTGGGCTCGCGCTGGGGCAGAGGACTCACGCGATGCTCAAAGATTGGCACGGCAGAGTGTGGTGCGAGCTGCAGCCTCACGACCTGTACGACATGGTGCGCCTGTTTCGGGTCACGAAGTGCTACGATCAGAACAAGAGGAAGCTCCACCTGATGATGAGGGACGTCTCGCAGCCGAGCGTACCGCCCGAATCAGACGAGCAGCCGCTGCCTTCGCCCTTGATGGTCCGCGGCCTGTTGCAGAAGGCACTAGAGGAGATCGGCGGGCGCAGGGCTCTGGGCGCGGCGCCACCAGGCGCAATGGAGGAGATACTGCAGAACGCGGTAGACGCAAAAGATAGCAGGTGAGAATGCCATCGAGAGCATCTCGTTTCATATCCGCAGCGTGGGGCTGGCTCATCTACAATTTCGGCCTCCTCCCCAAGACGCTGCGCTACGTATCGGACGGCGACCGCGTGATGTGATCCCCTGATGACGGATCGCAGTTGCCTCTCACCAGTTTCACGCTACCGCGAGCTCCGCCCCCCCTGTTGGCCCATACTCGTTGCGAATATGGCTGACGCCCTTGCTGTCCTTGCTCCCTGGGGTCTGTTCGTGCCTTACGCGTCGGTGCGCGTGACCCTGGGGCCCAGCCTACAGGCCCGTCGGGGCCCGCTGGGCCCCTTCTGAACCTCGTGACTTTTTTAGTCGTCCGACGGGTGCACTCTCATACATATTACACGCCTGTGTGTTTCACTTGAAAACCTACGAGTTTTACACGCTTTACATATGCGAGCTTGCCGCACGCTGTTCAGTCCGCCTCGGCATAGCAGGGACAGGGAGAGATGCGGGCCCAGAGTCGTCTTTCATTCATCACTCCTCCTCCTCCCTCCTCCTCCTCCTCCTCTTCTTCGTCCTCCTCCACCTCCTCTTCCACCTCCCTGTGTTCCGTCTCCCCCCCTCGCTGTCCCCCTCCCTCCCCTCCTCCTCCTCCTCCTCCTCCTCCCCTCCTCCTCCTCCTCCTTCTCCTCCTCTCCTCATCCCTCTGGCCCCCCCTCCCTCCCATCCTCAGCTCCCCCCCCTCCTCAGCTCTTCTCCTCTCCTCCCTCCTCCTCCTCCTCCTCCTCCCTCCTCCTCCTCCTCCTCCTCCTCCTCGGCCGGCCCCGGATCCCGCCGCCCCGCCGCCTGTCTTGCCGCTGCCGGCCGGCGCGACGCTCACCTCGGAGGGAGGGGGGCGGGCCAGGCGCCCGAGCTCGCGCGCCCGCGCGGCTCCGAGACCCGTCCGCCCTCGCGTCCTCGCGTCGTCAGCGGCCGCTGCTTTGCCCGCGTGGCCCTCGTCGCCCCTTCTCGCCCCTCCTCTCCCCTCCCCTCCTCTCCTCTTCCCTCCTCTCCCCTCCTCTCCCTTCGACTCCCTGCCCTTCCTCTCCCGCCTGGTCTCCTCCTTCGTCTCCCTCCCGTCCACTCCGTCTCCAGACACTCCGCTTCCACTTCTCTTCTCTCCGTCCCTGGCCACGACTGCCTCCTCCCTCTCCCGCCGCCTCCCCTCCCTCCTCCTTGCGGCACTCGCCCATCGTTCTCCTCGTCCTCCAGGGAAGGATCTGTACATACTTGTCCTGCCCTCCTGGGAGCAAGAGTGCATGATTCTGATCTCGCGCTCGTGAGCAGAGAAGCCCATAGAACGTCACTCCAGCGTGGACGGCTTGACTGTCCCTTGCCACTGCGGAGCAAAAAGGCCATGAAAGACGGCGGATAACAAAAAATGGAGCCGTGAAGGAGGACGAGTCGCGAATGAAGATGGAGGTCTCGTCTTTCTGCCTTATCCATTATCCATATCCCGTTTGCATGTTTCATGTTTGTTGTTGTGTATTTAGTTGTGCTTCTCTTTTTTTTTCTCTCTCTCTCTCTCTCACACTCTCCCATAGTCTGTCTATGTATGTCTCTCTGTTTATATTTATGTGTACACATAAGGTTAACTACACATATATATATATATATATGTCTATATAATATCTCCCTCTGCTTACTTACATGTGTGCATATATCGATGTCTGCAAACTCGTTAACCAGCGTGGGCTCCATACAGTGGCGTTGTGCAAATTATGCGGAGGGTGCAACCCACATGGTGCAGCCTATGCGGCGCAAACTAATGCAAAGCGACGCCCAGCAATGCCAGGCAATGCAACGCAATGCAAGGCAAAGCAACGCAATGCAACACAGTGAAACACAAGGCAGCGCAATGCAAAGCCTGGCAAAGCAATGCGAAGCTACACACAGCAATACCAAGCAGCGCAAGGCAAGGCAAAGCAACGACAGGCAACGCAAGGCAAGGCAAAGCAATGAACGGCATCGCAACGCAATGCAAAGCAATGAAGAGCAGCAACAACAACAACAACAACAACAGCAACAACAACAACAACAACAACAATCATTTTAAGACTGTTCGCCCTTATATGCTCGAGTGTCCAATAACGCGTGTTTCCCAAACCCTCGATACCCGCCCTCTTCGTTTTCGATCGAACCCCTTTTGGGGGGTATACCTTTCTTCCCTGCAGGCCGGGCCCCGGCAAGCGGCGGGGCGGCCGCGGACCGTCGGCCTGGCCAGCGGCAGCGCTGATCGGCGGGGCGGCCGCGGACCGTCGACCCGACCCCAAGAGGGACGGACAGGGGACCGACCACGACGACGACGACGACGACGACGACGACGACGACGACGACGACGACGTCGACGGCGACGGCGACGACGGCGACGACGAGCGAAAGCGAGAGCGAGAGAGAACGACAGCAGGGCCACGAAGGGCACGAAGTAGGCCACGAAGGGCGACAGCGGGGACACGAAGGGAATGCGTATGGGGCCACGAAGAGCGCGAACGAGCGGGGGCCACGAAGTGCAGATAATGCGGGGCCACAGAAGGCAACTATGGGGCCACTGAGGGTAGCAACTGGGCCACGTAGGACAGTGAGGGGGACACAAATGGCGACAGCGGGGCCACGAAGGGCATGCACATGGGGCCACAACGGGCGCGACTCCTGGGTGCCTGGGTGTCGGGAGCGCGGCGCTTGGGCAAATTGCAAGAAATTCCAACGCAAGGCTATTCTTCAGTAAATTGCAAGCAAGTCTCCAGCGAGAGCGCGACTCCAGAGCTCCGGGAAAGCGATTCCTGAATAAATTGTGAGGGAGTCCCGAGCGAGAGCGCGATTCCTGAATAAAATGGGAGGAAGTCTCGGGCGGGAGAGGGGGTCCTGCCTAAATTGTAAGGAAGTCTTAGGCGGGAGCCGTTGTTATTGTAACCCGGGGGCCAGGGGGCCCGTTTGACCAGGAAGATTTTCCCTGTCAAAATACAGGGTGCGAGCGTCGAGGGGCACACTTTGATTGAGAAAAACAGTATGCACCGGTGAGGGGGGATCAACAAAATTTACTCTTCAGACATGGGGATTCAACAACAACAACAACAACAACAACAACAACGACGACGACGACGACGACGACGACGACGACGACAACGACAACGACAACGACAACGACAACGACAACGACAACAACATCAACAACAGCACGCAACACAATAGCATGCAGTGCAAAGCGGCGCAAAGCCGTGCAACACATGGCGGCGACACCGCCTCCGGGGCCCCGCGGCGACACCGCGGCGGCGACCAGCTGGCCGGCCGGACCGCCACCGGGGCCCAGCGGCGACGGGCGGCGACGGGCTGGCCAGACCGCCAGCGCCCTGACCTTCCAGGAGGGCTACAAAATAGCACCCGACCGAAAAACCAATCCCCAAAAGCTATTCTACGTCTTGGCTTTAGGCTGTTTCGCTCAGTTGTTTAAGGTTTCTAGGCCTCCAGTGCTAAAAGTAACTCTCTGGAAGGTCAGGGCGGGGCCCAGTTACGGTCGCACCCACGATGCAAAGAACCGCGTCGTACAACAAGCTCTGGAAGGCGGGTTTTCACTGTGTTCGGCCCCAGGAGGCCCTCGCCGGGCCCCCGGGACCGTCAAGAAAACGACTCAGGGTCCCGGCGGGGAAGAGGTCGGGACTTCCAGGGAACCCGCACGGTCAGTCCTAGGACAGAAGGCCACCCTGCAAGCACACGAGACCCTCCGCTGGCCCAGGCCGAGGAAGATTCGAGGGTGCCCTCCCCCAGGATGCACAGGGGCATCCAACAATCACGCAGAATGCTCGGGCACCCTCCCCGAACCGACCTCGATCTTGCACCTCGGTCCAAGTGTACCTTAGCGAAGACAAGTCAGAGTCCCTCTATGTATGGTAAGTGGTTTGTAAGGTTCTGAATCGGGGGTGGACAGACGTCCCTTGAGTAAAACGTGGTTTAGTGAAAACGACCTGAGGCCCAAACCTGGCGGGCGCAGGCCTGGAAAATAACGGCCACGGCGCCCTCTCGAGAACCGAAAACGGACAATTCGCGAATCGACGTGCCACTGTTGGGAGTTCTGGCCACCCCCGAAATTTCCCCGACGCTCTGGGGCGCTAGCGGGCGCTTACGGGGCGCTCCGCGTGGGCCTCTGGGACGGTCCCCATCGCTCAGGAGGGCCCCACCACGGGCCAAGAGTACCCTGGGAGGCCGCCCAGACAGTCCAGGAGGGTGCAGAATCGCCGAAAGATCACTCCAAGACCCAAGATGGCCTCCAAACGGCCCAAGAAGCCCCGAAGACGCCCCAAGAGGCCTCCAAGAACACCCCCACGAGGCAAAACTCGTTGATTTCCTGTTGGCTCTGGAACGATTGGGGTGTTCTCGCCCTCGGGCTTCCCGACGCTACAGGATGGCCCAAGAGGCCCCCAATAATTACTGCCCCAATACATCCGAAGGGGCCTCCAAGAGGGCCCCCAAACGGCCCAAGAGGCCTCCGAGAGGCCTCGAAGACAGCTCCAAGAAGCCCCCAAGACGGCTTCAAGAGGGGGCCCAGACGGGGGACCCGAACGGACATTTCGAGCCCTCGGCCACGAGCGGCCCCCCAGGAGGCCCCAAGAGGCCCAAAGAAGCCCCCAAGAGGCCCCCAAAAGGACCCCAAGAGGCCCCCAGGAAGCCACAAGGGGCCCCCGAGAGGCTCCCAAGGGAGCTTCTGGAGGCCCCCAGGAAGCCCCCACCGAGAGCGCTCACAAGAGACCCCAAGAAGCATTCCTGAGGACTCTGACTCACAACCCAAGCACAGTGGCGGGATGGACAGAAGGCCATTCGATAAACACCGGAGAGCTCGCCCCTTGGCCCCCCGCCAAGGGGTGAGCATATATACAGGCGCAGCACCGCGCTGTATGCGCAGCTTTCGGCTAGGCCAGGCAGCGCAAGACCCAACACTGCATGGCGTGGCGCGTGGATGCCCGCACCGACCACGACTCCTCTCAGGCCCTACCTCTGACCCCCTCTTTCGCCACCTCCTCTTCGTCCTCGTCCTCCGTCCTCCATCTCACCCATCCCCCCCCCGTCGTCCACCTCCTCCGGCTCCTCCTTCCGCCGCCTCCTCCCTCTCCTACTCCCTCCTCGTCCGACGCCTCCTCCGCCCTCCTCGTCGTCCACCTCCTCCTCCTCCTCGTCCGACGCCTTCCCCCTCTTATCCCTCTTCCTCCTCTTCCTCCTCCCCCTCCCCACCAGTCTCTCTCTCTCTCTCTTTCTTCTGCCCCCCTCCCACGACGTCGGTATCCTCCTTCCCCCGCCGCCCCCCCCACTCCTCCTCCTCCCTCCTCCTCCTCCTCCTCCTCCTCCTCCTCCTCCTCCTCCTCCTCCTCCTGCTAATCTGCCTCCTCATCCTCCTCCTCACCCTTGACCGCCCGTGCGTAGTACGTGATGCTGCATGGTTACGTCTGGAAAATATCCTCACCGCCCGGCCTTACAACTGCCAGCGACATATCCTCACACCCCTCGCTTAGAACTGCCAGCGAACATCCTCAACGCCCCTGGCCTAAAACTGCCAGCTGAATATCCTCACCGCCCCTGGCCTAACACTGCCAGCGAAATATCCTCACCCCCTGGACGCCAAACTGCCAACAAAATATCCTCAACCCCCTGGCCTCAAACTGCCAGCAAAATAATTATCCTCAACCCCCATGACGCGCAAAATATCCTCACACCCCTCCCTTAAAACTGCTAGCGAAATATGCTCACCCTCTGGCCTAGAACTTCCAGCGAAGTATCCTCACCGCCTTGGCTTAGCACTGCCAGCGAAATATCCTCACACCGCCCAGCGAAACATCCTCAACCCCTGACTTAAAACTGCCAGCGACATATCCTCACACCCCTCGCTTGAGACTGCCAACGAACTATCCACACACACACATCCATCGCTTGAAACTGCCAGCGAACTATTTTCCTCCCCCTGCCCTTAAAACTGCCAGCGAATTATGTCCTCGCACCCCTCGCTTAAAACTGCCAGCGACATATCCACACACACACCCTGTCCTACAACTGCCAGCGAAATATCCTCACCACCTGACTTAAAGCTGCCATCGCCATATCCTCAACCCCTGACTCAAAACTGCCAGCGAAATATCCTCACATCCCTCGCTTAAAACTGCCAGGCCAGCGAAATATCCTCCCCGCCCCTGGCCTAAACCTGCCAGTTAAATATCCTCAACCCCTGGCCATAAAACTGCCAGCGAAAAATCCTCCACCCCCTGGCCTAAAACTGCCAGCTAAATATCCTCACCCCCTGGCCTTAAAACTGCCAGCGACATATGTTTACCCCTCGGCCTTACAACTGCCAGCGACATATCCTCACCGCCCCTGGCCTAAAACTGCCAGCTAAATATTCTCACCCCCTGGACTTAAAGTTGCCAGCGAAATATCCTCACACCCCTCGCTTCAATCTGCCAGCGAAATATCCTCACCCCCTCGGAAATAAAACTGCCATCTAACGGCGTTGGCGATTGAATTGTCCGTTAAATCAACCAATTACCCGAAAGTCAAGTTACGGACTGCGCCCGTAACATATATATGTATATATATATATGCGTATGCATACATCTGCATACGTGTAAAGAAAGGGTATGCAGGTATGGCTGCATGTGATATGCGTGTGCAGATATTTGGCATACGTTCCCTCTCTATCCCTCGCCCTCTCCTTCCACATTACTCCTCTCGTTACTCATCATATCTCTCCTCCTCCTCCTCCTCCTCCTCTTCCTCTTCCTCCTCGATCCCTTTTCCATAACAAGACCTATACGACCACCCTTCGGGTGATAAGGAGGTTGTGGGGGGGGGGGCGGAGAGGGGGGGAACTAACATCAAACTCAATCGATCTCACTATCGATCTCACTATCGATCTCACTCAACGGGACACCACGGGACACCACGGGCCACCACGGGACACCACGGGACACCGCGGGACACCTCTCGATCTCCTTATCTGTCTCACTATCGATCTCACTATCGATCTCACTCAACGGGACACCATAGGACACCACGGGACACCACGGGACACCGCGGGACACCACATCGATCTCGCTATCGATCGCACTATCGATCTCACGATCGATCCCACTCAACGGACACCACGGGACACCTCGGGGCACCACATCGATTTGAGTATCGACCTCACTATCGATCTCACTCAACGGGACACCACGGGACACCACGGGACACCTCGGGGCGCCACATCGATCTCAAAAACGATCTTACTATCGATCTCCCTATCGATCTCACCCAACGGGACACCACGAGCCACCACGGGACACCACGGGACACCGCGGGACACCGCGAGCCACCGCTGGACGGACGGACGGACGGGCGGGCGGGGGAGAATCATTTGTCTTGACTTCATCCTAGCAGCGGCGGACACCACGGGACACCACGGGACACCGCGGGACACCACGAGCCGCCGCCGGACGGGCGGGCGGGGGAGAATCATTTGCCTCGACTTCGCCCTAGCAACGGCGGACACCACGGGACACCGCGGGACACCGCGAGCCACTGCCGGACGGGCGGGCGGGGGAGAATCATTTGTTTTGACTTCGCCCTAACAACGGCGGGTTCATTCCTCTCGCGCGCCCACGCAGCTTCGCTTCGCCCGCACGCACGACACGAACGACACGAAACGATTTCCCGTTTGGGGGTCTTCGTTCCACTGCGATCTCACCCCCCTACCTCCGAACTTCTCCCTGCCGCACCCCGAGGCCAGTTTTTACGGCGGGCCAGGCGCTTCGCCTGAGAATTCCAGACCATTAATGATTGTCTCTGAAGCTTAAAGGTTGGCAGCAGTTTCACAGATGGAGGGCAGGTCGTTTTTAGAATGTGACTCTCGCCTTAAAGCCACATTCGTTCTAAAACTGTGCAAGAGCTTCACGGATTGAGGATCACCCATTTTCAAAATGTGCCTCTCGCCTTAGCGCCGCAACACTCGTTCTAAACATGTACAAGAGTTTCACGGATTGAAGAAAGCCCATTTTCAAAATGTGGCTCTCGCTTATCGCCGCGCGCATTCGTTCTAAAAAGCTGCAAGAGTTTAACATATTGAGGGCGGTTCCTTTTCAAAATGTGGCTTTCGCCTGAACGCCGCGCACATTCGGTCATACAATTTGCAAGAGTTTCACGGGTTCCCACGATCAGCGTACCAGGAATGGTGCTTCGGAAGGATTCAGGATTTTGCGGGTGCAACAGTTACGTTGGTTGACGGTGTTGAGATCTCAAGAATGGCGTTCTGGCACGATCCTGGATCGTCAAGACGCAACAGTCAGGTTGACCTGTGGTGTTGGAATCCCGGGAACAATATTTTGGCATGCTTCCGGGTCGTCAAGCGGCTGTCTTCCAACAAGGCAGACCCCTCAATGGAAATGAACCGTTGTAGGGGCCTATGGAGAGGGAGCTTGGAGGGAGGGTGTATTCCAACACCGTTGATGGATCTTGGGTTTACACTGGTCCTCCTCCTCCTCCTCCTCCTCCTCCTCCTTTGTCTCCTGCTCCTCCTCCTCATCATCCCCCGCCTCCTCCTGCTGCTGCTGCTGCTCCTCCTCCTCCTCCTCCTCCTCCTCCTCCTCCTCCTCCTCCTCCCCCCTCATATCCTCCTCCTCCTCCTCCTCATCCTCCTCCTTCTGCCCCTCCTCCTCATTCTCCTCCCCCTCCCTTTCCCTCCTCCTCCTCCTCCTCCTCCCCCTCCTCCTCCTCCTCCTCCTCCCCCTCCTCCTCCTCCTCCTCCTCCTCCTCCTCCTCCTCCTCTGCTCTACTATACTTGCCTCTTCGCCTGTTCCCGTCTTCATTTCTCATGTTCCTTCCTGGAGGCGAGAAGTACGGGGAGGGCGAGGGGCTGAGGCGCGGGGGGCATGAGAGAGGGGGGGAAGCCAAGGAGAAGGTGGCGAAGACAACCAATGCAGCGCCTTTGGCTCACGCCACGAACTCGCGTGAGACTACACAACTAAGTCGTGAGTCTTGCTGCTATAGCACGTGCTTGATGGTAGAATATGCTTGCTATAAGCGCGATCTGCACTGAGACCGCATGTAGATACAGCAAAGGACTACAACCAGATGCAAGTGGCCAGGCTCCCACACAATTGTGAGCGTACCCATTGCCAGTTGCAGTCAGAACACGAGTATGCGCTCCCCAGCGGAAAGCACGTCACCCCTGAGGCCGCAAACGCGTATCTGTGATGCCTTCGAATGACGGTAGAAGTTGGCTTAGGATGTCGCGCAGGCTCTGCCCGCTCGCATCCACTAACAGCCATAAGGCAGTTGAGTGCACAGACCTGGCACGTCCCCAAACACACACTGGCGGCGCGCACAGGTGGGTATGGGGAGGAGGGAAGGCTTCCTAGAAGGCGCAGGCCTTACATCTACAGGTAAGTCCTGCGCCTTCTAAGAAGCAGGGGTGCTTCCCCCCTCCCCCATAACCCCACCTGCGCATGGCCGAGTTTACGAAACAAAACGAGCTTCTCGACGCCCCCGCCAGATCACGAATTTGCGCGATGCGCCGCGACATCTGTCAAGCTGGGCCGCTCGGCTCTGGATCCCTATTCCCCCTCCCCCTGTCTGCCGCTGCAGCTCTAGTCCTCTTCCTCCTCCTACTCCTCCTCCTCCTCCTCATTGCCTCGTCCTCCTCCTCCCCCTCATTTCCTCGTCCTCCTCCTCCTCCTCCTCCTCCTCCTCCTCTCCCTCCTCCCTATTCCTCCTCCTCCCTCCTCCCTATTCCTCCTCCTCCTCCTCCTCTCCTCTTCCTCCTCCTCCTCCTCCTCCTCCTCCTCATCCTCCTCCTCCTCCTCCTCCTCCTCCTCTAAAGAAATAAGCCATGAAAAAACACATACAAAGATCGGAGGTCCGCGCGGATTCCTCGGGGATCGGCGCTGGGGCTCCCTGGCGGCGCCTCCGGCGCCGCCCGGCCTCCGACTCCTACGCCTCCGGCTCCTTCTCCGCAAGCTCCATGCAGCCCAGGCGCCAGGCCCCCTCCTGCACTTACTCCCCCCATCCTTCTGCTCTTCATGGTCTTCCTCCTCCCCCCCTCCTCCTCCCCCGCCTCCTCCTCCTCCTCCTCCTCCTCCCTCCCTCCTCCTCCCCTCCTTCTCCTCCTCCTCTCCATCCTCCTCCTCCTCCTCCTCCTCCTCCTCCTCCTCCTCCTCCTCCTCCTCCTCCTCCTCCTCCTCCTCCTCTCCCCTTGTTTCTTCTTCTCTTCTTATATTTATATTCCTTTTCCTCCTCCGCCTCCCTCCTCGCTCCAGCTCCTGCGCCGCCTCCTCCTCCTCCTTCTCCTCCTCCTCCTCCTCAATTCCTTGCCCTTATGAACTTCCTTGCGGCAACACTCATAAATCAGAAGCTTAGAAGCTGAGCTGGCAACAATTTCAAACATGGAGGGTGGATCGCTTCCAAAATGCGGCTCTCGCCTTCGCGCCGCGCACACTCGGCTTAAGCATGTGCAAGAGCTTCACGGATTGAAAGCGGCTCCTTTTCACAATGTGGCACTTGCTGTAGCGCCGCGCACATTCTCACTGACTGAGGGTGGCTTCTTTTCAAAATGTGGCTCTCGCCTTAGAACCATGTGCAAGCGTTTCACGGATTGTGGGCGGGTGGTTTTCAAAATGTGGCGTTCGCCTTAGCGCCGAGCGCATTCGTTCAAACAGTTGTTAGAGTCACCCGTCCTCATGGTTCACGCACTAGAAGTTGCGTGTTGGAGCGATTCAGAATTGCGCAGCAGATACTTTGATTCGCGGTACTGACTTCCCAGGGTGTTCTGGCACGATTGAGGATCGTCAAGACGCAACAATCAAGTTCACTCGTGGCGTTGAAGCCCTGATATATTGGCGTTTTGGCACGCTTCACGCTTTTCACACGATTGTCCCCCAACGGGGCGCTTCCTTCCTTGGAAATGAGCCCTTACAGGGTTGGAGGGAGGGAGGGTGTTTCCCAGCATCGTCGATGAGTCTTGGGTTTGCACTGGTCCTCCTCCTCCTCCTCATCATCATCATCCTCCTCCTCCTCCTCCACCTCCTCCTCCTCCTCCTCCTTCCCCTCCCCCTCCTCCTCCTCCTCCTCCTCCTCCTCCTCCTCCTCCTCCTCCTCCTCCTCCTCCTCCGCAACAAAAAAAAGCCAGGGTGCCCCCCGCACAGCTCGCACCCGCTGCCGCGGCGAAGCCGCGCCCTACAGCCTGTACAGCCTGCCCGCCTCGTCCCACGGTTCTGCCCGCTGGTGCAAGGGGCTGCGGTCCACCAGCGTCAGGGCCCTCGCCTTGGGCGTTGCTGAAGGGGGGGAATGAAGGAGCAAGAGGATGTAATGATATGTGCCTCTCGACTCGGGGAAATCTCGACTCGAGGAAACACGACCATGGATTGGCGACGCGTGGATGAGCGACGGGCCCCATTTTCCATGCGGGGTCGGCAGCATTGGCGCCATTTTTCGGGGGGGCCTTCCCCGATCCGTGGATCCCCTGAGATCCGACGTTGCAACAAAAATTGCAACATCGCCAGAAGTCACCTCCGGAGCCCCGGACCCCATCTCTTTCTGTGTCGTTTCTTGAGCCGGATCGATCTGCGAGGGTCCTGGGGCCCGAAAGGAAGCGAAAACACCCGTTGCGAAAAAATCGCAACGCCAGGATCTCAGGGGGCCCAGACGTCCAGCGTCGCGGGCAGAAACCGAGACGAAGGTGTCTTTCACCGTCATCGGCCTCTATAGGGGCCCTTCCTGGCCCTCGGGGCAGTCAACAAAAAAACGACACGCGAGAGGAACTGGTGCCGAGGAGATGGTCGAGAGGTCGGGGACCCATGTCTCGACAAAAATCGGAACTCTGGACGTCCAGGGGGGGGCGGAGCGGTAAAGGCAGGGGGAGAATCGTCGCCGTTCTTGCCCCGTTCTGGCCCCGAGGGGGCGCCCTGAGGGCCCGCTGAGGGCAGGGAAAATACACCTTGCCTCACCCCCTCCTTCTTCGCCCCCCCTTGGCCCAGACCCCCAACGCCGTGCCTTTCTCCCAACTTCTGGAACCCCCTTCCCCGGGACTGGTTTCTCATCCCGAGCCGTTCTTTGACGGTCCGGAGGCCCAGGAAGGGCCCTCGGAGGCCGAAAACGGCCAAAAACCCGCCGACCCAATGTTTCTGGACCGTCGGATCTCTGGGGAGGCGGAGGAGGAGGAGGATGAGGAGGAGGAGGAGGAGGAGGAAGAGGAAGAGGAGGAGGAGCAGGAGAAGCAGGAGGAGGGGGAAGAGGAGGAGGAGGAGGAAGAGGGACGAGGAGGGAGGAGAAGGGAGGAGGAGCCGAAACTGGCGAACAACCTCCCGTCGCGATTTCCTCACAGCGCGAGGGGTTCGGGCACGCCACGCCCGATCGCCAGCAGCTTGGGCGACGCCGGCGGCGAGGTGGGCGGCGTCGGCGCCAGGGGAGCCGGCGGCGCCACCTCTCGGGGGTGGCCAAGAGGGGGGCGTCCAAGAGGGGGGGGCGGATATCATGGCCGGCGGCATGTGCGCGGCCCGGGGGGGGGGGAGCCAGGGACGTCAGGAAATAAGAAGAGGCGCCATGACATTTGAGGAGATGTCATGGCCCTGGCCATGATATCCACGCCCCCTATAGTCATCACTAGGGGGCCACATGCCAACCCTACCCCATACCCCCTACGATTTCTCTGAGGGAGCAAAAGGAACCCCACCCTCCCCGTCAGAAATCGTGGGGGGGTAGGGCTCGCATGTGGCCCCCTAATCACCCCCCTCTTGGCCGCCCCCGAACCTCCAGCGCCGGCTCCGGCGCCAGTTCCGGGCGCTGGCCCCCCGCCTCACGAGGGGCGAGGCAACCCCAGACATGATCGCGTCGTGAAACCATCAGGACGGGAGGTTTCTGGCCGTTTTCGGCCCCTGGGAACCCTCGCCGGGCCTCAAAAAACGACTCGGGATGAACCATCGGTCCTGGGGAAAGGGTCGGGACTTCCAGGGACCTCGTATTGAAGAAATCAGAACGTCGCATGTCTGGGGCGTGATCAATCGGGGATGGACAGACCCCCTTCAGCAAAACGTGGTTTAGTGAAAACGACCTGAGGCCCAAACCTGGCGGGCGCAAGCCTGGAAAATAACGGCCACGGCGCCCTCTCGAAAATCGAAAACGGACAATTCACTAATAGCCGTGTCACTGTTGGGGGTTCTGTCCACCCCCGAAGAAATGCATCGAAAGGTTTTCGGCGTTTTCGTCGGCTCCCACTGGTTCTCCAGCCTCGGGGTGCCTTCCAGCGGCTGCGCCTCGCCGAGAGCGGTCCAGGGGGCGCCCGAATCGCCCAGAACGGCTGCCGGAGGCCCGAGATGTGATCCAAGAACCACCTGGGCACCGGCTCAGGGGGGTAAAAATCGAGCTCGGACTGGCGATGCATCGCCGATGGATCAGCGACAGGCCCCCGATGGCGAATCCGTGCGTTCCGGGGCGGGGCGGGCAGTTATGCCGCTGTCGGCGATGAATGAACGATCGGAGGCCGAGGCATCCCCAAGCATCCGGCGCTCCGATCTTTTGGGTGCGGGGGCCCCCAGAGGTCTGGACCACTTCCTTCTGCAGGGCTGGCCTTGCGGTCCTGCGGCCCGTTGCGGAGCCCCAGAACCTGTAAATGGCAAAAGACCAGCGGCTCCAATTTTTTCGGACCTCGGATCTCTGCCCAGACACCCGACGTCGCGATTCTTTCCCAACGTCGACCCCCAGAGGCCTCGACCCATTCTCTGGGACCGGTTCTTCCTCCCGAGTCGTTTTTGTTCGACGGCCCCGAGGCCCGGTAAGGGCCTTCGGAGGCCGAACCTAGAGCAAAAGCTCCTGCCGTGCTTTGTCACAACGCGAGGGCGTCTGGGTGGGTCTTCCCTATCGTTGCCCCTACTTTGCTATCTTTTGCTGGGGAGTCAGGATGCTCTCTTTTGACCCTACTAGAAACCTATCAGTCTTTGCTGTTAGGTTGAAAAGCTCCTGTCGTGATTTGTCACAACGCGAGGGCGTCTGGGTGGGTCCTCCCTATCGTTGCCCCGGGGCCTCCGCCAGCGCCGCCGGTGGCACACCAGCCTCGGCCGCGTCCTGTCTGCCGACGAGGGGCCACCGACCGATGCCTATAGGCCTTCGAGGCCGAGGCCCGGATTTGTTCAACAGGCCCCGCCTACAGCGAAGGTGCCCAGGGACACACAAATGAATAGACACACAATCCCAGGATTCCCCATATTTCCGAGTTTTCGTCTTCCCCCCCACTTCCCAGATTTCCCCATATTTTTCCTGGGAGTAGACGATGGCTTGTGTTTCCCCTTCTGATGCATGGCCAAAAATCCGTCCCAACAAGCACCCTGGCAAGCGAAGCCGCTTAGAAAACGCACCCAAGGAAGGAATCGAACAGGGCAGGGCTGCTCAGTAAACGCCCAGGGCCGTCTAAGAACCGCAGATTGTCAGGGTCTGGGTGGTTCTTCCTCGCGGCGACCAGATCCGCATCCCCAAAGACTCGACGCTTCAAAACAATTGGAGCAGCGGAATTTTGGCCGGTTTCGGCCTTCGGGGGCCCCCACTGGGCCTCGGGGCCGTCAGGAAACGACTCGGGACGAAAGACTGGCCCTAGGGGAGGAGGAGGAGGAGGAGGAGGAGGAGGAGGAGCAGGAGGAGGAGGCGGAGGAGGAGGAGGCGGAGGAGGAGGATGTCTGGGTCTGCGCCCTCGCGGTCTGGCCTCGGGGGAGCGCGACCCTGCGGATGCGAGATCGCACGGCTCCGCTCCGCGCGGGGCATCCGCAAACAAAGCGCCCAGTGTCCGCGGGGGCACGGCCCAAGCGGAGCGGGCCCAGCCCGCGAGGCCGCGGCTACACGGACCTGCTCGGCGCTCACGACGAGGAGCCCCGGCCCCTCCCCGAGGGCCTGCTCCTCCGCCGGGGTCGTCACGTGGTGGCGCGACGAGGCACGCCCGACGTCGCTGTCTGAGGGCCCTCTGGCCGCAGACATCCGGCGCCCCATGTGTTGGTCGGTGCGGGGGCCCTCCGGGGTCTGGACAAGCTCCCCAAGGCGGGCTTTTCGCCCCGCGTCGCCTTGTTGACGGTCCCGGGGCCCGCCGAGGGGTCCCCTCGAGCCGAAGAGAATCGAGAACCGGCCGCTCCAATCTTGAAGTCGGGCGTGTCCCCGTACAGGAGGGATTTTGGGCGCCCAAAGAAAATACTCAAAAAGATACCCCCCAAATGGGCAAAAGAAGTCAAACAATCGTCCCCTTCCTATTTTTTGCCTCTTTTTGAATATACCCCCTGAAGAGGGACATGCCCGACTTAATCCAGTCTTCTCGGGGCCTTGGGTCTCTGGGACGGCGCGACGAGCACCGCCCGCACTCATCCGCTCCAATCTTCTCGGATCCTCGAGTCTCTGGGACGGCGCGACAAGAGAAACGACCGGATCGTTGTGTTGTTTGGCGGCGTGCCCGGCCTTCTGACAAATGCTCGAAGCGCCATCCCCGAGAACGCCGAAAACCTCTCGGAAGGCGCCGAGGGCACCTGAGAAGTCCCGCTGGCCTTCTCCTTGGAGGAGGAGGAGGAGGAGGAGGAGGAGGAGGAGGAGGAGGACGAGGAGGAGGAGGAGGAGAAGGAGGACGAGGAGGAGGAGGAGGAGGAGGAGGAGGAGGAGGAGGAGGAGGAGGAGGAGGAGGAGGAGGACAGAAGCGCACTCGCACCGCTCCTCCCCGCGGGCCGCGGACCTCTCCCAGAGCGCGCTCTGCCCAGAGTCTCGAGGCGAACCCGGCGCTGGCGACGAGGGCCTCCCAGGAGGCCACAACATTCGGGGAGACGTAGGACTCGGGTACGGGGGACTCGGGTTAGCCTGACGGGGGCCATCATGAAAATGACGAGGCCCAGTCTGAAATTTGGCGCGGGCTCCCGCTGCAGACGTCCCATGAAAACGGGACCGTCAAAATCCAGGACGCGCTCGTCAACAAAAATGTCGGCAAACCCGAGTTCCGGCTTACTCGGGTCTTACGTTTCCCCGAAACATGGGGACAACGAGGGGGGGGACAGCGGTAGGGGTTTATGTCCCAGGATGCCTCCTAGAGCTGGGGGGCCTAGAAAATTAAAGCGCCCGCCTTAAAGAGTCTAGAAAGAGTCCATGTGTCGCTTCGGAGGTCCCTAGAAAAAATGATCTAAAAATAATTCACAGCCTCGGCAATGACACCGTGAAGCCGAATTTCATCATTGACGCCCCGTAAGTCTGACACGCCCGCTCCCAAATTACAATATCAGCGTCTCGATTTTGGAAACGTGGCATTGAAAGGAGAGTTGAGAGACCCCTTAGGCCCCGCTTCAAGTTACTGGCGCACCCCCAAAGAACACCAATGAGTAGGTAGGGTTAGATCAAACAGAACACGTGTGACACAATCTGATGTTACTTTAAATGCGCACTGTCCTAGCACGGGGGTCTACGCAACACTAACAACAACAATAAACCCAATACCGCGCGCCTTCCATTCCCTTGTCAGAGGGGGGCGGTAGATTACATTCATGCTTCTCATAATTTCTATGTGCCGTCAATTGACATTCTCATTTGTTCCACATTTTATCTTTGTTCCATTCATTGCACCCCCTCCTCCTCCTTCGTGTTCTTCTTTTATGATGGGTAGGTCCCGTCACGTCTCATATGCTTGCGCTGATCACTCCCACCTGCCATCCGTCCTCACACTCCTCCCATCCGTTCGCGATGAGCCATTTTGGCGTCAGGGTTTCGGGCGGGCCGTCGGCCCCGTCGATGTCCTCCGACAGCGGCTGTGAGGACAGCCGAGCGGAGGACGCGGCCGCTTGGGCCGAGGAGCTCGCCGCCGTGCTCGGCGGCGACGACGGCGGCGACCCCTCCGCAGACCAGGGCGCCGCGCCGTCAGGGGGGCCGTCGCCTTTGCGGGCGCTCGCCGCGGACGTTGCGGAGCTCGGGCAGCTGGGCCTCGCCGAGCCACGGCGCGTGGCGAAGCGTCGCCGCCTGAGCGCTGCGGCGCGGGAGGCCTTGGCGTCGGTTGCGCTTCCCGAGGCGGCTGCGCCTGCTGAGCCCGACGTCCGCCGAGGCGCCGCGAGGGCTCGGGAGGCCAAGGCGGCCAAGGCAGATCCTGTGCGAGAGGATGCCGCGCTGGCCATCCAGCTTCGGAGGGAGTCGAAGCAGGTCCCAGCCGACGTGGTCGAGATCGCTCGGCTCCCGACGCAGAGTCGACCCCGCTCGTGGCCTTTGACGCAGCCTATTCAGGAAATGCTTGCTCGATCTTCGCGCTTGGACACGGGTTTGCACGCCGACTCAGTTGTCGTCAAGGTTGCCAATCATTTTTTTGATCGTGGGAGCGGCATTGTGTTGACAAAGCAGGCATTCAGCAATATTTTAGGCGTGGACGCTCGTAGGATTGGCCCTTCAGTTATCACATTGGCTGAGATTCTCCTGTACGCCGATCGGCTGGCTCGATCAACTCTCGAGACGCGATTGGCACTGCTCGTTGATAAAGATCGCCTTTTGGATATGATCGAGTTTGACAGGCAGGATGAGACCCCAATGGCAGTTACTCGGCATGCTTGGCACACCGCTCAGAATTCAGCACAACAGACAGCGCTGGCTGTCGCGTCGCGAAGCCATTTGTTCTTGTCCCACCTGGAGAGGGCTCTCAGTTGTATTTCTCGGGCGCGTCGGACCATGTCGAAGATCCTACAGGCCGAATCGTGTTACGCATACCGTTTCGTGGGGAGTGCTGGCTCGCCAATCACGATCGTTGGCCACTGCGTGAACCCGCTCCAGCTGGTTGACCGCACAACTGGCGAGTGTTTGAGGACGGCCTGGCGACATCGTGCATCCATAAAGTCAGAAGGGTACTTGAAGTTTCAAATGCACACAAGGAACACGTGTGCTGACGGCGCTGGCAGTAACGATCGTTGCGAACGAGCCCTTCTTTCAGATTTCGGCGACGACTGGCAGCGGTTACACTTTAAGTGCGACATCCACGCTGCTGTAAACAACTGCCACGACTCCATGTTTGTGTGCGACGATTTCATGAAGTCTCAGAGGCGATGGGCATCGAGCATCAATTTCGGCACTGGTCTCACGATGTATGGCGAAGCTTTGGAGGAGCTTGTGTTCGAGCGCATTGACCTGCGATACGGTGAGCCTCCAGACGAGTTCAGAGCTTACCGCAACTACGTCACGTGCATCTGCATGCAGAATGTTCCGAACCAGGTCGAGATGCTCCTTGCAAGCAGGACCCTGCCAAATGGCAATTGGCGCAACCATCAGAAGGTCGAGGTGTACGTTCCGTTGGGTACCAGGGCCGACCCGCGAGCGATTGCATCAGCAGTTGCATGGAGTTTGAAACGGGTTTTTGCTGGCACGTTGTTCACCAAGCACGTCAAGTCTAAATGGAAGGGCATCGCCAAGGCGTTGTCCCAGTTCGTGTTGCCATTTGCCTGTTGCGGCCTCGGGGCCCCAGCGTATCGGCGTTTTGCTGAGCGGGCTCGGGCCATCAACGACCGTATCATCGGGAAGGGTGGCGGCGCTGCTGCAGCTGGCGGCGGTGTTGATCCTGCGCTGGCCATCGAGGACGGCGGCGGCGGCGGGGAGGGCGGCGGCTCGGCGCTCGGCGGCTGCGCCCCTGGAGGCTTTCAGGGCGGTGGCGGCGATTCAGCGAGCATGGCCGAGCAGGAGCGATCGTTCAGAGCTGAAAACAACAAAGACATTGCTATTGGCTTGGCTTTATCGCAGTCGAAACCTACCAGTAGAACGCTGATCATTATACAAGTCGCTCTGGCCCACGAGATGTACTTAGACCAGCTTCTCGACCAGGGTTCCGTGGATTGGGAGACGGCCCAGCGCGCGTCGCAGGCCCGCGCTCTTCTGTCCCCATCGGCGCAGGGCCGCCCCAGAGCCGCGAGGAGCTTCGAGTTGCTCGAGGCCGTCAAGGACGGGGCCGCTGCATCTTTCTTGACCGACCTCCATACGATGATGCGTTCCGCTACTCATTGGGACGTATTGGTCGATGACGCCGACAAGACTTTGGAGTACAGGGCGTTCACTTTTAAGCTGCTATCTGCGAGCCTGTGTACTTCAGAAAGGACGGCGTGTTTGCGGCATAAGGTCGAACCAGCTGCAACGTTCCGATGTTTGTTCAGTGATGCAGACGCTGAGGCCGTGAAGAGCAAGCCGCCGTGCTTGCGCGACCCATGGAGCAAGAGGTTCGTAGAGAAGTTCGCCGATGAGCCAGGAGGGTTGCGATGCGAACAGGCGCAGGCGGCTTTGCGATTCCAGTGCAGGGTCGCCAGGCGCCACATGGCGAATATTGAATGCTGGCACGCGTCGCTGCGGAGGCGCCTACTCATGCGAGGAGTTCAATGTACTGGACAGGCTTTCGCCGAGGTCAACGCCGAAGCTGTTTGCGATCGCGTGCATGCCCGCGTTGCCCACCATGATGTAGTTGCGACGCTGGGCAAGATGTCTGCCGTCGGCATGTGCGACGGGTCCGCCGAGCCCGACGGTGACGGCAGTGCACTGAGAGATCGCGGGTATTCTGGCCCTTGGCATGCTTACGTTCGCCACCGCACTTTCGGGACAACAGGGAGATGCGACTTGTCGCAGCTGGCCGTCGACTACAACGCGCTCGATCGGGACGAGAAGCAGTTTTACATTGACATGGCGAAGGGCGCCAAGAACCAGTTGACGAAATTGCGGCCAGGCGAGGGTGCATTTGGCTTCAGGTCGAGGGACCTCCTGCGCCAGCAGCGCGTAGCTTCACGTGCAGCGGCGCCCGATGCTGTTCGGCCTTGCCAGGGCGGTGCAGATCAAGAACCTATGTCTCGGCGGCGGGCTGCGTACGGGGCAGTGTCGGCAGTTGCGCGCCGCTCGGCCAACCGCAGTTTACACGAGCTGGTGATGGCTGCGAAGGCGGAGCAGCGGCGCTTGATGCAACTTTCGGGCAGAACTCGTGCTGCCGACAGGCAGGCATTGCGGGAGTGGGCAAGCACCAAGGGCTTCGCTTTGTTGGAGGAGGTCGTTTCCCAGAATCCAGTGTTGCAGCCTTTCAAGGAGTTCTTGTACCCCGTACCCGATGTAGATGACATCGTTTTCGAGCTGATCCCACAGGCGAAGAGCGCTGTGAAGGTTGCTGTGGCTTCGGAGCTTTTGGCGCCTACGTCCAACCTTGGGCGCGCCATGCAGGCGGACTTCGACGCCATGTCCACGCCCATCCTGCACGAGCTGTCGGAGCCGATCTTGGCCGACGAGAAGAAGAAGAAGGGTGGCCCTCCACCTTGCCACGAGGTTGGCATCTGCTTGTGCTGCGATGAGGGCGAGCTCATTTGGAAAATGAGGAATCGGTACCTTGCAAAGCTGAAGGCCTTTTGCAAGAACGACCCCATGAAGAACATGCTTCGACATCAAGATCTCGTCGTCTACTTCTACGGTCATCGGCAACATGTGTTATCGGAGATGGACGGTGGTTGGGGCGACGAGCTCGCCGAACTCCTTGGCGACGAAGAGGCGGGAGATGTCCGCCAGGAGTTGTGGCTCCACGTCGGCGCGCACTCCATGAGCCCGTACCGCTCGAGCTTCCTGTCCCTGTGCATCGACGAGGATTCTGACAGGGCCCAGGTCGTGGACCGCGAGATCATGCTTAAGGACATTGGATTTGATCCAAAGGGGCTGCTTCTCCTCTTCGTCCTTCCTGCTTCCTCCTCCTCCAATCACGGCTCTCACCCACTTCCGCCCCGTCGACGCGTCGTTCTCGGGGGTTTCGCCACGCTTTCTAACTGCTCCTCTCTTCGTCGCCCCGCCCCGTGCGCCAGGCTCGTGGCGTGCAGCCGTCAGCTAGCATCAACGCTACCCCTGGGCCTGGGGCCACCTCGGCATTTGCATCTCCATATGGGTCCGAGTCCCTGCCGCGGGATCACTCCCGTTTGTCATTCGGCCCCCCAGTTGCGGGATATACTTAAGTTGGAGTGGGGTGGTGGCGTCCTGGGGGATATTTGGGGCGCCTTGGCTTTCGTACTGGCTCACCTGGGCCATGAAGCGCTATGCTGATCGAAACTGGGCTTCCAAGTGCTCCCTGAGGGTGTGTGTGTGTGCGTGTGCTCCATCGACCTTCGAGTGCAATGGGGTTGGTACCTTGGGGCGCTGTGAGGTCCTCTCTGGGATGCCGTGGGGCATGTTGGTGCCATCTGCCGAACCGCATGTGGAAAGGAGTTGTTGTACCAACCCTACCAAACCTGTTCTTATCGCGCCGTTGCGCTCGCAGGAACTTCCCTTGAGGGCTGGCATTCGGGTCGGCAGTCCGTTTGACGTTAACTATGGTAGCCCCCCCCCCCTGACATTACAGTGTTTTGGTATGTCAAACCCGCCGCCCCGCGAGGCAACGGATACCGTGTGGTTCGATTACTATTTGTTCAAAGAGATGGACCCGTCCATGGAGTGGTCTATGCAATTGTACGCCATCGTTGATGATCCGATCCACATCGGTACTTTTATCCCTGGTCAGGTGTCAGTTCGAGAGATCAACGGGTGCTCAGACCTCACGGTGTTCTGGGTGCCTCCACCTGTCGCGCGCCGAGGTGGTGGACGTCGGAGGGCAGAGTGCGAGCCGATCGAGTTCGATGAGGCTTACCACGCCTTGGACGACGCCGAGGAGGACCCCGATGACGAGCCCGACGTGGACCTGGAGGGGCCCGACGGCGACGACGTCCAGGACATTCGGATACACGCACCTGAACTCCATGGGGCAACCCACATGTTCTTTTCGGGCGCCATTGTTTTGGGCGCACCAGGGCCTTTGTAAGGCACATCTTCTCGTCCATCAGGGGTGTCCTGTTTTGTGCAGGCGAGAGATGCGGGTTTGGGGGTGCCGTTCCCAGTAACATTGCATGGTGTTCTCGTGCAGATAAGTGGTTCATTGTTGATTCACAGTCGAGAAAAGTTCGGGGGGTCGACCAGTGGGGGCCCGAGGGCCCGTAGGGGGGAGGGGCAGATGTCATGCGCACGCGTGCGAAGCATGTGCTACAGGATGGGTGGGTGCTTGGGAAGGCCTGCGATGCCGCAGCGAGACATGCGTGATATGTGTACATTGCACGGGCACGGGCGCATGCACTTACGCAACACGCATCGCGCATGCGCGTTGGCCATGCGCGCGTGTGGGGGGCTTTCCGAACGATCGCGCGCCGATCGGTGCGACCCGTAGGCACCCGACGGGCCCTTCGAGGGCTCGCCTTTTCCCAGGTTCGCTAAAATCTTCGTTGGCCGAATGCTGACCACCCATGTCCGTTAGAATGCGTGCCACACGTTTCTGGTCTTACGAGGGTGTCGATGTTGGTGACGCGTCCGACAGCGACTTGGGCCTGGTCGACGACGAGGGGTTGGGCGAGCCGCTCGCGGAGGGCGGCCTTGTCGGCGACGTGGAGGTTGACGATGGCCCCCCCGAGCCTCCTGGGGTCGTCAAGGTGAGTCTTCCAGGTGGCGCCATCAGGTACTATCCTCCGACAGAGACCCAGAAGGCCCGATTCGAAGCCACATGCAGCCGTGACCATTATATCAAGGGCAAGGAACGCCCGTGCAGGATCACGCGATATTTTATCGATCCATAATGCTTCGCTCAAGCATGAATGGACCTTCTGTGGGGAGTAGGTCTTGCGGTGTGCGGTGTGACTGGGGATGGGATCGCGACAGGGCGCAGTACCATGTGCATGTGATTGTGCTGTGTTGCCTATAGGGGCCAACTCATGTTGTCTTGTGCCGCCTGTAGGATTTCCCGAAACGGCCCTCATGGTCGCGCGCCTGTCGCCTCCCCATGCCCACATTTAGTTGTGCCGCCCCAGATCTCCTAGCCTAGAGGGCCCCAGGGGGGCCGCACTCGCCCTGTCCCGTAACATGTGTTGTTCGTTTGTGCAGGGGTGGGGAACACGCGCGCGAAGCAACGCGCACCCCATGTAGGAGGGCGAGGAGGATGAGGAGGATGAGGATGAGGAGGAGGAGGGTCACGTTAGAATGGGGAGGGGGACTGCGAGGAGAGGGGGCGGAGGAGCACAATGAGGAGGACGAAGTAGAGGAGGGCGAGGAGGGGGAGGAGGAGGAGGAGAGGGAGCTCGAAACGGATCATATAATAAAACGCGTTTGCAATAACGGCAAGCGTTGGAAACAGTGGTTGGAGGAAAACAGCTCCCAGGGTGACGAATTGAAGCTGATTTTCTGTTGGCCGCTCAAGCGACCTAAATGGGGACTCCCCTGCTGCTCCTGGTCCTATTCCTCCTCTTCCTCTTCCTCCACATCATCATCATAGTCCCCCCTTTCTTTCTCACCATTGTCATCAATCTTATTATCCCCCCCCTCCTCTTCCTCATCTTCCTCATATTCCTCCTTCTCCTCGTCCTCCTGATCATCCCCCATGCTCATGATCTCCTCGCCATCGCGCTCTTCCTCCTGTTCCACGCCACCCCTGCCTCCGCCAGCGCATCCTCCTCTTATTCCTCAGCATGATCATCCTCCTCTCATTTCTCATCTTTCTCCTCCTCCTTCTGCTCTTCCGTCTCCTTGTCGTCCTCGTCATCCCCCCTTCCTCCTCCTTCTCCTCCTCCTCCACCTCCTCCACCTCCTCCTCCTCACCACCGCCGCCATCCTCCTCCTCCTCCTCCTCCTCCTCCTCCTCCTCCTCCTCCCCCCCCGATCCTCCTCATCGCCCTCCCCTTCAGCCTAGTCCTTGTGCTCCTCCAGCATTGTCATTACCACCGTCCTCATCGTTGCCAGCCTCCGCCACCCCTTCCTCGTCTGCCCTTTCCTACCAGGTCCCTTCCCCTTCCTTCTCCCCCTCCGCCTGCTCCTCCTGCTCCTCCTTCTACTCACCATCATCGTCACCATCCTTCTCCTCCTCCCCTCTCCTTCTTCTCCTCCCCCTCGTCCTGCCACTGCTCCACATCCGCATCCGCCTCTTCATCTTCCTCAACATAGTCCCTCTCCCCCTCATCATCCTCCCCCCTCCTCTCATGCTCCGCCCCCCCCCCACCCCTCCGTCTCCTACACCCCTCCCCTTTACCATCCTCATCCTTATCTTCCTCATCGCCCTCTCCCAACTACCCTTGCTTCACCTCCCCTCCGTTCTCTCCTCCTTCTCGGGGCCCTCGGGGCCCTCCTTGGCGACGGTATATAATGCCCCATAGGCACCTCTCGGGAGATCCATGGTGGCCGTCGGTTTGCTGGCGGCAAGAGCGGCCGCCAACTGGCCAGCGCCCGTCGCTCAAACAATCGCCGTGAGAGGGCCCAAGTGTGCACCAGTATGAACGCAAATGGTCAGGCCCCAGGATGCACGCAGGATTGTTCACAGCCTGGATGAGAGCCCCGATGGGGCTGGCGGACCGACCTGGCTCTGTGAAGGGCCGACCCAGCGGCTTGTTGGGCGCGTGGCTCGACTGCGAGTGCGCCGCCAAGGACGAGCACCAGCGCGTTTTTTTCCTCGCGGGCATCAGCCGCGAGAGACGGTGCGCAGCCAGGGATGCCATCAGAAGGCGGCCACATGGCGTTTTGTTGCTCAGCAAAGAGCGCCCTTGCCGCCCTGGCGAGGCCGAGGAGCCTGCGTGCGAGAGCCACCAAGTTTAGCATCAGAGAAAACAACACCTCGGGATCCAACCTTTTTTATGGCCCTGAAGGTCTCGTCGCGCCGTGTCAGTTGGGGTTTGGTCGATATCTGACGAGCGTGGTCTACCCCCGCGGTGTTAGGGGTTGGGTCCTTCGTTTGGGTTAGGGGTGAGTTGTTGGGTCGTCGATTGTCTGGCGTCGGAGTAGACAGGAGTGTGGAGGCAGCCGACACGCCCTGTGTCAGGTTGTTTTTTTCTCCACAGAAATGACACCGAGCGTGTCAATTTGGAGGCGTCGTCCCCTGGAACGACACGCGGGGTCTCACGATCCTCGATACATTCGCCATTTCGGATTCATAAATCCTCGAAATTGACACGCGGCGTGTCGCGCCGCCGTCGTCTGTGGACCCCAGAGACACGCAGGGGGTCTCCCTCGGGGGGGTCTGGGGCTCCCGAGACAAGCGCGCCGTCGCCCGCGGCGTCGGCGCTTGCTAACCAGGTCCTTGGAGGCACCGCGGGGAGGCGAGAGGGCGCTGGGGGTGGAGGAGGGGCCGCGGGCCGGAGGGGCAGGGAGGGGGGGCGGGGAGCTGGGGGGGTGGATGGCGCGAGGATGCGGAGGAGGTCGGGGGCGGGGGTAGGAGTGAGGGGAGGCCGAGGGCGATAGGCGACGAGGGCGAAGGTCACCCCCTGGGACCGATGCCCCACAGGCACTCCTGGGTTCTGGCTCTGGGCCTCTTGCTGTTTAGCGAAGGTTTCCCTTAGGAAATTCCGAAACCCTGGCCCCGTGGAGGGCCCTGCCATTCTGGCGCATTCTCGGCCATGGTCCGAAGCTTTCGTCGACCCCTCATCCCTGCTCGGGGGTGGGGTGTGGGGGTGAGGGGGGCTTGGAACTTGGAACCCTTCGGCGTAGCAGCATGCCCTGCCCCAAAGTTGTTTCCCTCCCTGAGCCGCCTCGGAAGTGTTCATGCCGCCTCCCCCTCGGATTGGACCCCGCTGGAAGCCCGAACCGCATTTGTGACCCTGAGCTGCGGGTAGATTGAACGCGAATCGTCCGTCGCGTGTGAGGCTCCAGGGGCCCGAAGTTGCTTTTTCTCAGTGGCATCTGTGCCATTCCAAGCGCGCCCGCCCGATCTCGTTGCCGACGATGGGCGGCGGCGGTCGTGGCCGCGGCGGCGGTCGCGGGATCGCTCGGAAGGGCAACGGCGGCAACGGCGGCAGCCCCAGGAAGTCCGCTGCGCCAGCCCCCAGCCCCAGGAAGCAGCAACGTTCGCAGGCGCCCGCGGTTGCCGCTGCTCCTGGCTGCTGTGCGTGGAGCAGGGCGAAGTTCACCGAGGACCAACGGCCCCATTGTCTGCTTGCATAGCTTGTTTTCTCTTTCGTGCAGTCGTCCTACGCCTGCGCGAAGCATACCCCACCGCTCCTAACGTGCACTTGGTGTTGGTTCTTCGTTTTGCCTGGGGAGGGGTCCGCCGCTGTTCTTTGCCCATCTGAACATCGCCACCCCTTCTTCCCGTCATCGGGGCCCGCGTCTCTGCCACCTACACGCATGCATCAACATGAGTATCGTCATTGCCACCATTGCCCTGACAATCGCCACCACCACAACCGATAGGTTAAAATGCATACCACTTGCCTCACATTCACACACATTAGAAACAAGTTCATGCACGCACGCACCACGCACAACTCGCACGCCTCACTGCACCGTTTGGATGGTCAGTGTGTCGCCCCATGGCGTTCATTTGCTCGACGACGAAACCAGTCCTCTCTGGTTGGGCCCTTCGCATGGACTCGGGTGCACCCTATGTGTTTGCTCCTCGTCCTCCCCCTGGCTCGCTCCACCCGCCATATGTAACCTTGCTCCGCCACCGCCCCCGTCGTGAAGAGGGGGTAGGGGTGACGACGTTGCCGTGGGATGTTGATGCGTTTACCCTTTTGGCCCTGTGGATGGCGACGCCCTCTGCACAGCTATGATACATGCTGGGAAGATCTCAGAGCACACGGTGCGCAAGTGGCCAACGCACTAATAACCTCTCGAGGGGTGCTTGCATCGGGCTCTGCGCCGACAGCCGCCCGCCCCGTTCGGACGCGGCGAAGCGAGGAGGAGCAGGGGGGATGTGCGTGATGCAAGTGGTGGGAAGGGTATGTGGTCGATGAGCGGAGGAGGACGGGTAGAGCATTTCGGGCAAGGCAAGCGACCTACCTAACTCAAATTGAAACGAGCTGCCGAAACCACTACCCACGACAGCTTCAATCGGAGTCGCCCAAGAAAACATCGCCACCTGGCGGGACTGAGTCCGAGCCCTCATCGTCGAAACCACCTGGGCGATACTGGAAGTACGCGAACGGGTTCACACGGCCCGTGCGGGGCCAGTAAGTGGGGCCTTGCTCCCAGGGCGCGGTTGACCAAGAGGTATCTTGGAGCTTGAGCGGGAGCACGACCTCAGACACGCCCTCATTGACATTGGTGTCGTCGCGAACGGCGTCGGGCATCTTCAAGGGGACAGTGGAGAAGTGGTTCGGCTCGCTGTCGGGCAACGGGATGGCACGGTTGAACGTCGGCTTCACGCGGTGGGTGATACCGACGTCGATCGTATCGATCTCGGTGTCGACAAAATAGTGCTCGGGATAGTATGTGGTGCTGGAATCGCTGTCGGACTTAACCGAGTCGGCGTCGTCCTCCCCGTCGTCTGCCAGGGCGTCGCCGCTCACTGGCGCGGCCGCCTCGATCCCGACCGTCGGGTTTAGCCAAATGTGCTTCTCGAGCTCGCACAGGCGATCCTTCAGGTTGCGGTGTTCCTGCTCGACGGCATCCAAACGACTCTGGGTCTCTTCCAGGATGTCGAGGGTCTCGAGGGAGCGGGGAAGGGCAGAGGGTTTCGAGAGGGCGATCGCAGCAAAACCTAGCAGCAATGGGAGGAGCGGCGGAGGAGGAGGAGGAAGCAGAGGAGGAGGGGATGAGGAAGGGGGGAGGCTTGAGACGGAGCACATACCAAAACATGTTTGCAACTACGGCCACC